AATCCATCTATGATCATACAATATTATTTGATAACATTTTCTCGTCCATTTAATTTTGATTTTTAAAAATTCATGTGTGTATAATGCGTTGTCAAAAGTCCAAAACGAATGAATAAATTTTCTAGATGTTCATCTATTTTTTTTTTTTTTGGGTATTCATGATCAGGTAGTCACATAAAGTTTCACAAAGAATCAAAAAACATATAATAATTAATTGAAGCATCTTTTGGTCTACAAATTTTAACATGCACTAAATTTAAACCTAGATTATAAATTTATAATACGTACGTCGATGATTAATCTAGTATAAATTATTAATCTATAAAACCGATTGAAATAGATTGTAATAATTTACGTACTTTGATTATAATATGAAGTCATATATATGATAATGTGGGTCAACGGGAACATGGAAATATGTATATTGGCATATTGCTGTTTATATATAACTTGATAGTATTGTCTTAATTGATCTCATTATAAAATAATATAAACAGATTGGTCTCATTTATTAAAATTCTCAAAACATGTGAAGTTAATATCATTGCTGTATCGTTTAAAATAATGGCTGAGGTTTGGTTCACCGTATCAAGACCATAAAGCTCATTAAGCTAATTAAATTAGTAATATTGACCTAACTGTACGTAATCGTGTGGTTCATATATATAAATACATGTATACACACCGACGAGTGTATCTACAAGACCGATTGGGTACAAGTACAACCACTCAATGCACGCTCGCGGTTTGATTTTCCTATTATTAAAAGTTGGTTGATTTTGATTAAAAAAAGAATAATCGACATATCCTCCTATCCAAATAATGTTAGCATGTAGTTGACGACAAAAACTATAATATTTCGTCGCATAACAATTCGGTAAGCATAACCTACCTACTAGATTACAATAGAACAAAAACTTTGAATGATAAATATTGCAATATCACATTTAAAATTGCAAAAAGAGAAATCTTTTCTAACTCTTTCTAAATACATGTGCTTATCGTAACAATAAAGATGTCAATTACAATATAGAAAACAGCCGTTATTTCGTGTTTATGAGTTAGCAGACTTATTCGCGTCTTTTATAATCAAATACATAAACAGCCGTTAAATTTATAATGTTGAAATTTTTGTGAACAATTTTATTAACTCCGAGTTCAAGAATTAAACTTCCAAAGTTACAAAAAAAAGAAAGAAAGAAACATCAAAATAAATATGTAGTTTATGGTATTGGAATAGGGAAAAGTAGAGAACAAAAGAAGCGACCATTAAGGAAAAAAGCCTGAAGACAGGGGAAAGAGGAGAGGGGCCATATTGTGTGCATGGATTCTTAGCCAAAGAGTGCTCTGCCCTTCACATCACTTCTATTTCACTATTTATTTATTTATTGCCAATATTATATATATATATATATATATCCTATCTTATATATGCTTTTAAAATATCATATATATATATATATTCATTATATCTATATGTATTTATTTATCTTCTATATGCTTAAATATAATATATATTCATTTTAATTATACCCTTCAACACATCATTTTTGACAACGCATTATGATTATTACAAAAAAAAATTAATTCTATCCACTTTTTTATCAAATAAATTGTGGCGTGTTAATTGCAAATTTTAGTGAAAATTTGATAATAATAATAATAAAAAAAAACTGAAATTTGATCAATCCGAGTTATATCAAAGACATTTATATTAAAAAAAAAAAAACTCTACTGACCACTTTGGCTACAATTATGTTTAGCCAATATTATTGCTTACAAATAACTTGATGAAAAATATTTATATATATTAGGACCCTATATATTATTCAACTTTTCTACTTTACTTTCTTTCTATTTTAGTAAATTACTAATACTTTCTTACTATTTATATATACAGATGTATACATGGAACATAATTGAAATATATAGACCTGAATGAGTTTAGAAACCGGGATATTTCAATATCGAAGATAAGATTATCATCGAGCAAACAACCCACAAATGAATACTATAAATACAAAAATAAATAATCGATCAAATATCTTAACGAGAGATATAAGCCACTCAACTACCTCACTTGGACTCGAAAAACTTCTCGGATTACGTTCATTGCATGTGGTCCATTTCACATGTCACTATGACACACATCCACCAAATATGACATTCTCAGTTCACTTCTATGTACATAAAAAGAAAAACCAACTATGTAATATTTTTAAGGGTTTTCGTACCTAATTATGCTTACATTAACATGTTAAATTATTGAGTTTATATATATTATTAATATCAAATGTTTTAATTCTTCTATAATGTAAACATGACATTTGAACTAATAAATTCAAAGTTTCAAACACACACACAAATAATGTGTTCGAATTAACAATCGAATAATAAATGTAACATGGTCTAGAGATGGGAATGTGAAATATTTTGGTTCTTGCTTGGGATTTTTAGGTCAGTAAAAAAGCTATATTACATCTTTTTTCCAACTGAATATGATTGTTGATCAGATTCGAACACAAATACTTTGATAAAACAGCTAGCCGGTCTATAAAATGACGAGTGTCTCGTAATGTTTTATCTAGGGTCAAAAGCTGTGATGATGAAGGTGTTTGTGTTAGAGAGAAGAAGAGGAGAGAGGGGTCCAGGGTCCTCATAAAGGAGAAATGATGGATGGTTGCGATTAAGAGAGGAGGATATGTAATAAATTGAAGATCCATTCTCACTATTGTGGATTAAAAGCATTGTCTTCCCGACATTGTGGATTAAAATTAAATAGACCACTCGAGAACGAACCATATCTTTTTGGTCAATTCCACCATCCTTTGATTCCTTTTCTCATTTCTTCCTCTTCTCCACCATCTTTGAATTACTTGAGTGCCTTACTCTTTCATGTCTTTTATTTGGTCCATTTGTGTTAAGAAAAAAACAAAGTCGATTAACTTGTGGATTCATCATGTTGACTAACGATTGATTGAGACCGGTAGCTTTTCGGATTAATTAAGAGAAGATTTCATTTCGACTATACTAGGACATAAGAAGCAACGAAAACATTTAGGAAATTAACCCTTTCCATAATTTAAAGGACTAAGGTCATTTTTTTTTTTTGTTTTTGTTAAGTCTAAAAAACGGTTTTTGGTCGATTTAAACGAAATAGAATGTCTAGATCAATTGATCAATTTGTTTCATCTAGATTTGACATAAATTGTGGCGGTTTGGTACTATTAAACGCCTAGGCGGGAGCCTAATCACTGTCTAAACCTTTATATTGCATGGAATCAGAAGCGGGTACGCGGAAGCGGAGCGTTTGGAAACGTGGAAGCGATTTTTTTAGAAATTTTAGGAAGTGGGTACGTGTTGGAAGCGTGTATAGAAATTTATATATATATATATAATAAAATATTAAGCATTATATAATATTAAAACATATAATTAACAACACAAATCTAATACATAAATTTTAAATACTTTAACTACAAATAAAAACCAAATAGTTTATTTTCGCAATAAATAAAAATAAACTAGTTCAAAGTTAAAATTTTAGATCACTATCTTCACTCTCATTTTCTTAATCCCATCCAGTAAAATGGTTTCAAATTCCATTTTATCGATAACACATCATCAAATTCAAGTTTCTCAAAGTTTATTCAATTCAATTAATCATTCCAACATTTTCCAAATAGATAATTTATGTCGTGGTTATTTTGTTAAGCATAATCTTTTAAAAATAAAATACAAAAATTAGTATGCAAAATTTTTAAATTGCAAAATTAGTTTTGGTTTCTTTTAATTGTAAAAAATACTATAAAAATAATTTTATATTTCTTATTAATATGTGACTATCAAATTTTTAGAATGGAAACGCAAGCTTTCAAAATGGAATCATAAGCTTCCAAAATGAATTTTTTGGAAACGATATGAAAACGAGATTCCAAAAGCTTCCAAGAACTTCCGATTCCGACTAATATTCTAAAGCAGGAAGCGGACCTTCGACGAACCTTCTGTGCTTCCTAGGTCTAAACCACATTTTTAAACATTGTGACTAGGGTAAGAGAGAGAGAGTACTCCTTGTTGGAGGGATTTTGACGTGTGGCCCCAAAAGTTAGACACGTGTCAGGTATAGTAGATGAACATGTTGATAATGGCAATTATGATGATGATGAATGGGGCATGACCATGGGAAACAAATCTTTGCAAGAGAATCGATTTAAAATTGCCATGTCGTTGCCACCACAAACCCAACTGCTCATTATTTCACGTTTCGCTGAATATTGTTTTCTCTATTTTTATGTATTGAATTTAATTGGAGGAAAAAAACAATGATATGATAAACAAAAAAAAGGCATCTTTGATGACGTCACCTGTATCTCTCAAGATTTTGGCGGGTCCCGTTTCTGCATTTATTTCTTCATGAATTTAGACTTCAAAGGTTTGGGAAGACTATACATTTTAGTATTTTACTAAGAAAACTAGGAAAAAAAGTTTAATCAAGAATAAGTTGATCTTTAACGTAAAAAAAGGTTAAATTACTGAACTTTTTAAATGGTCTAAGTAGGAGAATATGAAGAGCAAGATGATTAATATTATATGGATGAAGAATAATATTTAACCAACAAAACCGTCTAAAGATTATACAAAAATGGATTTGTCATTTTTATTTGTGGAACTAGTAAATTTTAGTTTGTATTTTCAACGCTTTCATTTGATGATTAACAATTGTGATTAATTTTCTTCACACAAGTATTAGCCACCGAAATCATCTGACAGTCTTATTCATTTATTATGGATGTAATTTTTTTTTTTTTTTTGTCAAATTATAGATGTAATTTTTTTGATATTTAATATGTTATAGGTTTGGTCGTCCATCTTTGATTTCATGTTTTATAAATCTGATTGTTCATTAAATGTATACCGATATGTTTGTTACGGATATATTATACATTTGTTCGATAGTTGTATTTATGTTTTTTTATATGATGTTATAATATATTTATAAATATAAAATAAATGAAGATGGTGATGTGATATGTTATACAAATATATATTTATAAAATTTATGAAGTCCATAAAAGAATTTTTAGATTTTTGCATATATGATGAAGATGTTATATATGTATTTTTCATATTTGGTGTAAAAAATCAAGCGGTTGTGGTAGTAGTATACATATAAAGCAAAGCCCACCTCTTATCTAATCCTTAAAAATCCTCCAAAAGATTTGTTTTGATTATTTTATTTTATTTTAGAAACTTTGTCTTTTTTTCCTTCCTCTGCGCTGTCTTCTTAAAAAAACTATTTTTTTTTCTTTCTCTATTAGTAATTTTGCTTTCTCCACAATTCAAAGCTAAATTAGTTTTATTCATTTTTCCCTCTCTCTTTTGCAAAGATTTGGTAGAAAAAAAAAAAAAGAGTTATAATCAGAGATCTTGTTTTAAGTGCAAACTCTTTTATTTCTCTTCCTCACCTAAGCTTCAGCATCGTAAATTAAAGATTAAAATCGCATCAAATCCCAGAGAAAAAAAAAAATTGATTCTTTTTAGTGAAGAACAAAAAAAAAAGTCGAAGACTTTACATCTGGGTTCATCGATTTGAGATTTGATCTTCTTTGAGATTTCTTTTTCTATCTTCAAGTTTTGCAATGGGTATGGCAGCAGAATCGCAGTTTCATGTTTTAGCTGTTGATGATAGTTTATTTGATCGGAAATATATAGAGAGATTGCTTCAGAAGTCTTCGTGTCAAGGTATAATGAGTGTTAATACAAAAACAAAGTCCCAATCTTTGTTTGAGAAAATCGAAGAAAGATCTAAGCTTTTTTATGTGTTTGGTATTTGTAGTAACTACTGTTGATTCTGGCTCAAAGGCTTTGGAGTTTCTGGGTTTAAGACAAGGTATTGATAGTAACGACCCAAATGCGCTTTCTAAGTCTCCGGTTACTCACCAGGTTCGACAAGTTTGCTCTTTTTTTTTTCTTTTTTTTTTTTTTTGTAAATCGCTTTAATGTTAAGTTTCTTCTTCTGTTTGATTGTTTTTGTTGTTAAAGAACTCTTGTGTTTGATTGTTGCTTTCAACAGGTAGTTGAAGTGAATCTTATAATTACAGATTATTGTATGCCTGGCATGACTGGTTATGATTTGCTCAAGAAAGTCAAGGTACTTGTTTTCTTCCTAATTTATTCGATTCCATCTTTGGAAAAATAGTTTTAGAGAAACCAAGAAAGTTTTCATATTTTTAATCAAGAAAATAAGGGAATGTCAATAGAAGATCTCTTTAGAATATTCGTGTTTATTTCCTTCTCCTTTATGCTATTTGATGTGTACAATTTATTGATAACATCTTTTGATTAATCTGGCAATTTTGCAGGAATCATCAGCTTTTAGAGACATACCAGTAGTTATCATGTCCTCTGAGAACGTTCCTGCAAGAATCAGCAGGTAAAGAAAGAGTGAACCAATGAAGTTTGAGTTTGGTTTCCTTTAGATTGTGGTTTGAATCTCTCATCATAGCTTTCCCGGGGAATTAATGGGAAGTTCTTGTGTGTTTTGTGTCTTGATCATGAACAGATGTTTAGAAGAAGGAGCTGAAGAGTTTTTCTTGAAACCAGTAAGATTGGCTGATCTTAACAAGTTGAAACCTCATATGATGAAAACAAAGTTGAAGAACCAGAAGCTGGAGGAGATTGAGAAAACTTCAAAAGTCGAAAACGGAATTGTAGCAGCAGCAGTTGAACCAGAGATTAAAGATTCAACAAAAGTTGTAATTGAAATCCTGCCTCTGCAACAAGATCTGCTATTAGTAGAACAAGAGGAGCAACCATCGAGTACCAACAACAAGAGGAAGTCAGTGGAAGAAGGGATCTCAACAGATAGAGCACGTCCTAGATTCGACGGTATCGCAACCACTGTCTGATCTACCGCAATGATGCTTCTTTTTCCGGTTTCTGATTTAGAGTTTTGTAGATTTTCGTAGGAATGCTTCTACTGGTACAATACATGGTTTCAGTAGGGAATGCAGAGAGGGCATATAATGATATGATGTATGGGGATAATGTTTATAAGTACATCAGTAAATCTTACATGGTGAATAATCCAATTCCCAGTTTTGTTTCACTCTTTACTTTTTGCTTTAAAGGCACTCAACTATCTGAAAATGGTATGAAGGATCTGTCGATAGGTCACTTTATTTGCACACTGTAGTTTTCATGTATAGATACGTACCTGTCCTAGCGATCAAAAAGGTATAAATCTGGTAAATTCTGGTGCAAATGTGTCATGGTTTGTTCCATGTTATTGTGTCCTACCTAACCTGAAACAGAATATCAGGACAAGTTGCTCTCTGTGTCCTCTCTTCACAGATCAAGAATCTTGTTGAGAATTGTGTCACTTCGAAGAAAGATCTGTACTTGTTACATAAAAAACAATGAATCATGATTTAAACCTAAACAAGCAACATAAAAATCTAACAATGATGAATTTATTGCTTGATCTCTTTTCAAACACCAAATTATGTCTTACGGTTTGTTAATTAGATTCTTACTTCAAGAACCTATAAAACTACAAAAGTTGAGACAAGAAAAACAGAGTTTTCACAAATGGAAGCTAGAGAGGACATGTATTAAAGGCAATGTCAAGATCAGAGATCAAATCATCCGCATCTTCGATGCCAGCAGATATACGGACAAGATCTTCCGTCAAGCCTCTGGCCTCACGAACTTCTGCAGGTATGCTTGCATGTGACATGAAGCATGGCATGCTTATAAGTGACTTCACACTCCCTGTTGTCAAAGAGAAAAAGTGGAAGAGATCAAAATCCAAAATATCCCAAAGCTTATTAGAGCTTCTCCAGAAGAAACAAAATATAAGTTTTCTTTGAGTCTCACCAAAACTGACTGCAATGCTGAAGTATTTGGTGGTTTCTACAAGATGCTTTGATAGCGCAACCGATCCAGTTATAAAGCTAAAAACTGATCCTGCACCCTTAGCCTGCATATATGAAAAGAGTTAATGTTATATTGAGAACTTAAACTATCTTCTTCTTATTCTTCATATATCAGTTCACGCTTTTTAGTACCTGAGAGAAGTGGAGATGGTGACCAGGATGATCTGGTAGACCAGCATAGTACACTTTCTTCACTCTTGGATGAGAAGACAAGTACATTGCAATCTTCCGTGCGTTTTCCTGAAGATTTTTGCCATCTATTGTAAGTAATGAAACCAACCCAAAAAAAAAAAGAGAGAGAACAATATTTCAAGATAATTAGGGGGGTTAAAGTCAAGACCTGTTGCTTTTCAATCCGTAAAGCCATTGTCTTGATTCCTCGTAGGCAAAGCCAACAGTCGAAAGGAGCTAATCCAGAACCTTCTGAGTTTTGGAGGAAATACACCTCCTTTGCCAATCTGGAAATTTTAACACCATTATATATAAGAAAAGCAGATATTTCAAAGAAATGTCTCAGATACTTGAAAGCAGAAGATACTCAAAAACAGAAAAGAGTAGAGGCAACATACTTTTCGCCTTTGACAGCAAGCACACCAGCCATCACATCACTGTGCCCAGCTATAAACTTAGTAGCTGAGTGCATCACGATGTCTAGAAAGCCATACAAGTTGAAACATGAGTATTAAGAAGTAAATCTGAGAACAGAAAAACGAAAGTTTTAGCCAATAGAAAGCAAGTCTGAGTTGTTTTACACACCAGCTCCAAGTTCTAATGGCCGAGAGAGCACTGGTGACATAATACTGTTGTCCACCAACACAAGCGCACCTTGAGCATGAGCCATCTCAGCAATTTTCTGCAAAGACAGAAAACCATCAAACCAATTAAACATTACGGCAGAATATGTCGATTTCCGCCATGTTTCAAAATTTGCAGAAACAGAGTATTTACTCGTATATCAGAAATTTGTTGTCTGGGGTTTGTTGGAGACTCAAGCCACACAAGCTTAGTCCGGGGACCAATCGCAGCAGCAACCTCGTCTAAATTAGTTGTGTTTACTCGTCTACAAGATATCAAATGGAATCATTAAGTTATCAGAATGACTAGTTATAAGAATCATAGGTAGGAATACTAACTTTACCACAACGCCGGATCTTGGAACAACTTGGGATAGTAATCTGTCTGAGCCACCATATACATCATCTCCAGCAACAATTTCTTCGCCTATGGAAACAATATTAAATATACTACAATGAGACCAAATCTATGCTACCAATCCAATGGAAAGACATTACAATCCAGGAGAAGTCAGTATCGGAAATTACCATTTTTGATAAGGTGTGTAACAGCACTAAGAGCAGCCATTCCACTAGTAAAGCAAAATGCTCTATCTGCCTTGTCAAGCTTCGCAAGGAGGCTAACAAACGAATAAAAAGTAAAGTTTTACGAACACACATACAAATATAGCTAAATCACCTAGGAATCGAGAAGATGCTAAGAAACAATTACCTTTCCAATGCATCCCGTGTAGGATTTCCACTTCTTGTATAATCATAAGGTCCATTTTCAATAGCAGAAGGCTACAATAAGCAAAGAAACTAGCATCAAGTGACAAAATCTTCCCATAATAAACGAGGTTGTTCGATTTACGGCTCAGTACCTGCTTAAATGTAGCTGTTTGGTAAAGTGGAGTGCTCATTGCTTCAAAGGGATCAAATTTATTATCCAAGTTAACCAATAATGTAGAGACGCTAGCTTCTTCTTTGATATTCATAGCTGCAAAAACATGGAAACACCATCAATCAACAAAAAAACGTTAACTTTACAATAATCATCAATACGATCCAAAAACAAAGAAGTTATTAAAGCTTAACGAACCATTTAAGCTATCTGCGGTATTGTTAACAGTAGAATGAATTTGACCATCGACACTTTTCTCCATCACGCAATTCAGCTTGAAAATGTTGCGATTCGAGATCTGCTTCTTCTCCCAAGTTGGAACCTTGGAAATGGAAACACTGGTCGGAGAGTTCTTATTGACCAAACCCTTCAGAGAAAAACACCCAGAGACGAAGATGATCAGATACCACTTAAATTGGTTTGGTAGAGACCAAAAGCTAAAGAAATTGAGGAAAAAGGGATTAACTTTATTTGAGAGGTCAATAAATTATAGTAAAGTAAAGAGCAATACTCGGTCGGGGAGATCAGCGAAGGAAGGTACGAAGGAGGAATGAAGTGACAGAGAAGATGCCATTCTGGTTGATGAAAGAGAATTAAAAAAGCTTCTTCTCCGGCGTCGATTTCTCGTCTGAGATATTAGCCGACGAGATAAAGTCGGCGACGGAGGCAGTTCTCGTGCTCAAGTGAGTGTGGAGACGACAGAAGAGAAACTGAAGCGGCTTTAAGTCTCGGTTTTTTTTCGGTTTAGTTAGATACGAATAGACAAAACCGATATAATTCTGGTCTGGTTTTACTCAAAAAATCAATGGTTTGTGCAATTTGTATACCCTTGATAGGATCAGATATCAATTTCATTAACAAGTAAACCAGCTACTTGGAGAAAAAAAAAAAGTAAACCAGCTACTATAGATAGAATTTGAAGGAAAAAAAAAAAAAAACTGAAGGGAAAAAAACACGTGGGGAAAAGTAGGTGAACACCTACTCGATGTTCCCATGAGAGTTGAGACATAACACTAATATATTCGGCAGTGACAAGAAAAAGGTATTTTGATACAAACAGGTCTTTATAGATTTTGGCTACAAAAGCCTTTACTTGGAAGAATTGGCTACAAATTGTCACAACTAAACCGGCATAAGACATCAGACAAATAAATATTGTCTATTTTCAATATCTAAGCATCATAGAGAGAAACAAAACAGACAGAGATAGCTCTCGAGATGTCGAGCAACTTGAACAGACAGTTTCTCTCTCTGCATCTACACAATCTTTCTTTAACTTCTACTTCCTGACCTCAGGTTTCTCCTGATGCTGCTCGATGACTCCCTACTCTCGCTTTCTGATTCGCCTTCTTCTCCTGAAAACCTTATAACTTTACATAACTGTATATAACAGTTTCTAAAATGTAGCTTAAGTTGTGTGAGATTGTTGAAGATACATATGGAAGTTTTCACATACCGTCACTAGTCTTTCGGTTTAAGGAACGAGTATTGGTCATGGTCGTACCACATTGCGCAGAACCTGGCTCTTCCTCTGAGTCAGACTGTTCTTCTTCTGGATCAGATTGCTCTTCCTCGGACCCAGTTGCATTCAAATTATCACCTAATTCTTCCATTGATGGATCCACAATTTCACTATCTGAAACACCTGAGAATACACAAAACAGTCCATTTAAAAAAAAGAGAGATACTAGCCAATGAACTGTGCTTTAGCCAAGAGTCAAAAAATTACTAACCTTCACCTTCATCATATTCTTCTACAGGTTCTTCTATCACTTTGCTGAGGACAGCAAGAGATTCCATGGTCTTGGTTTTCTCTCTATGAACCTCGGCATTTCTTGCGGTTTCTTCTTGTTCTTTCTTCTCCATGTGGAACTTGTTGATCTTCTCTTCAAACTCTTCGATGCACGCTTTGAGTTCTGGTTTCGCAAACTTCTTTCCCTGTTCAGATTCACAACCAGATGTCAAACTCATATATAGCATGAAAAGAATGGCTAGGGTGACCAAAACCAGAAAAAACGGACCTTATTGATTATGCTTCTAAAGTTCTCGGTCACCAAATCCTCTGCTAAAGCGTGCTCGTAAGACTTGAATGACTCAATAAGCTTTTTGATTCCCTTTTCGGTGAATGTCAGCAGCGAAAGAGAATACGAAATGTATTCCCATTGTTTTCCATCTGCAAGTTTAGGTGTAGACGTCAAAGGGATATACTTTCTGTTAAACCCATAACAGGTGTAAGGATATATCATCAATACAAGCATACCTGTGACTCCGCTAAACCTATTGCAAAGCTTCTCAACCAGAGCCTCCATCTGTTTGTCCTGGAGATTGTTGAGAATACAGATGAGTGATTAGATACGAACAAATACTGGTCATGCGCTAACTTCAATATTGAAAAGCTATATACCTTTTTGATGGAGCCTATCAAGAATTGCATGACATTACAGAATGACTCCCTCTCTAAATTCCGGTTGGATAACTGTCCAAGTATATCAGGAAGTAGATTGTATATGGGATTCGATCCTGGATTTGTTTGGCAGAAAAGAGGCTCAAGTGTTAAATTTGATTCAAAGGTGGAAGTTGTTATGTCATGTAAAGTAGCTAATGCAACTGACCTTTCTTAGACAGTTCATGGAAAAATAGTTTTGCGAGACTAGAGATCCTCTCCACATCATCTTCTATACATATAGCCATTTCATTTATATGCCCTTTCACCTGAAATCAGGATTCACAAAATAAAACCTCAAATTATAATTGCAGATATTTAAAGAGAGCAAGGAGAGAGGTAAGGAGTCCAACCTTCATCATATCATTCAATATAAGATGTGATAGGACCAGGACAGCATTTTTCCTGACAGAAACTGAAGCATCCCGTAACCTGGCATACATATTTTCTGTCCAAGGTTCTAAAAGATTTGGAAAACGAACCGCCAAATCTCCAAGGGAAAGGGTGCAATTAGACCGGACAACTTCAGACGGTGCATTTTCAACAACTGTGAAGAGAAGCTGAAGATGGGATTCGCTGGCATACATTGAGTTTAATGCATCAATTTAACTATAAATTCAGTTTTGTAAAGGATAAAGAGAATATATGATAATGATTTAATCTCACCAAAAACTTGCATCAATAATCATAAACCTGCATAATGCAAGCATTGCGGAAGCTTGTAATTCAGGATGCTGTAAGAATGAAAAGAAATCGTTTTGTATATCACAAAGTAAATGTATGAGCAAAAGAAGGAGATAAAACACAAGCTTATAACTTCATCACACGAAACAGAATAAATTAATGGAAAACTAACTACCTTTTGCAGCAGAGTAAAATTTCTGCAAAGCTTTGAGAGAAAAGTTGCACACTCCCCAATCAGATTCTTCTCGCCACAACCACCAGAAACAATTTCTTTCTCTGTTTTTTCAGCGAGTGTATCAAGCAGTGCATCATCAGAGGCAGCAAGTCCTAGCTCAGCATTTATGTTATTGTTCTATAAAACAAAGAAAACTTTGCATGAGATTGCACTAGTAAGCAAAAATAACCCATTAGGGTTGCAACATTTGTGTCACCAGCTGCTTTACGAAAATCGGTATGTACCTCTTGCGTGGCCCCAAGGTTTTCGTCTGTATCCTGACTTTCAGCAGCCGATTTGTCCTTTTTAGTCTTCTGTCTCCGGATCTTCTGGATACAGGATTCTATATACACCAACTGGTTCATGGCAATGTGACTGATAGCGAACAAGAATCTACTGAGTTTTGTTACTTGAATTGGAGTCAGAATATCAACTTTATTATTAACGGTATCAGTCTGTGCTTCATCTTGTCCAACTACATCAAACACAGTGCTCACGGACATTTTAATAATAGTAGAAGCCAATGCTTCTGGAGTTGGGTGGATCATGTATATGGCACTTATGGCTTTATCAGCAGTTGCATAATATATGTTTTCTGGAAGCCAGTTCCCAGTGATCAAGCTTTCAAGAATACCAAACAATCGGCTGCCATTGTTGAGCAATAACTTTTTCCTATCTTCCTCGGAAAGCCGCTGAATAGCAGTGCATGCAGTTCTGGCAAGTAGAGGTTCTACTTTTGCCCAACGGCCAAACCCAATATCGATAATATCCTGTATGTGTGACCCAAGAATCCTAGGGGACGACTTTGCAGCCATGCAAAGGATAGATAGAGCCCCACGACTTTGCTCTGCAGTTGTCCCATTGATGTTAAAGCCAAAGAAGTCCCATAGAGCCGATGTCTACAAACACAAAAATGATAGAAGCACTTATTAGCCTTAAGCAGGTGGAATCCTTTTCGCCGAGAAATAAATTTCTCGAGCGAATCAATAATCAATAACAACGCTCATTATTTTTTAGTTGTTCTTGACCATGCATAAGCAGACCATACATATCCAGTGACAATAATTTATAGCATACTCATACGCTAGGGTCACACAGAAGGAACCTACCGTGCTGCTAGATATTTCACCTTTTGACACTAAAGCATTAACAATAAACTCTAGTGCTGCCTGATCTCCTATATTCGAATCTATGGCAAGGTTCAACAGCTGTTTCGCCGTTTCAACTGGATTTTTCCTTATGTAGATTGAGATGAAGGCATTCTCTACTGCTTCATAGATAGACTTATCCTGAGAAAAGGCCTGCAGAGACAAAATAAACAAGGTTTTTAGCACAAATGTATTAAGGGGATGCTAACTAAAAAATATCAGAAGAATGGATTATTTTGAGTTATGATAGATGATAAGCGACCATACCAGAGGCAGAATTTTACGGAGACAAGCTTCTGCACCATCAATTTGGAACTGCTTACACCTCATCAACAAAAGAATAGCATTCTCAACATCAGTGGCAGAAGATGAAGCCATTAATTGAACGAGGATCGGCATACTGGCTGACATGCACTTCGAGAACCTCAATCCAGCCTCAAGGGAAGCAATCAAGGCCTTGGTCTGCTCAAGGTTACCAATATCTGGAACAGAAACATCCTTCTCACTGATGCCTTCTCCATTCTCTGGCTGACAGCTATCAGATAGACTATCTTGATGCATCTTATTTGTCGTTTCAAGATGCAAGTCATCGATTTCACCATCTCCACTACAGGAGTCACCATCTGAAGTTGACTCTTTTGATGCATGCTCAGTAGGGAGGCTTGGTTCAAGTTCGTTCAGTTTTCTTTTATACTGCTCCAGGGTTGCTTCAAATGAAGCTATTCGCAGCTGTGGACCAAAGGGGTTATGTTGCAACATCGTGATCAGTAAATTCAATGCGGATTTTCTAACAATTGCACTCTTATCTTCCAGTCTTCCAGCAGATATTGATGCAACCTCATTCCATAGGCCAATTGAAACAGAATGCTCTTCACACAGTTCAGCCCACACCTGAAGAACTCGGCTCCTTGTATAGGCTGAAACATCTCTACATCGTTCGAGCAAAATTTCCAACATAGCTTGCTTAGTTCGCAGACAAAGGGACTTGGAACTCATATCTCCCTCGACATCATTAAATGCTTTTGCAACTAACTTTCCAAGAACACCAACTAGTGCGTTTCTTATCTTGTATGATTCACCGCCAAAATGAGGGACCAATACTCCAACATTTGTCGACATTAGTTTTGGCAAACGATCAGCAAGCTCGACCAGGAAACGCCCCACATTATCAGCCCCAGCAGTATCTTTAACGTAGGCTTTTGGGTCAGTCCTCCCAATATCTCTAATGATTGTCACGGCCAACGTACCATCTGCATACTTACTTTCAGCTCTAGCAACTGCATCAGCAACATGTACAACAGCAAAATCATACTTGTGTATCAAGTGCATGATTGAGGCACATGACTGCACAATGTAATGGTATTTTGTAGCAGAGGCTCCAATGATTCGGCACAGTGCATCTTTTGCCTCAGCATCTTTTAAGATTGTGGCATTCTCAAAAAGAGTGAACGAGTTTCTACAAGGAAATAGTATGAAAAAGATGTGAGAATGTATCTTCAACATGGAATATGCAAAGATAAACCAGATTCATTAGGTCACAGAAATTACTTGACAATGAAAGACAGGTAGTTTTCATCTAGGTCTGATGATCCAAAGAGCAAGGATAGGTTGATCTCAAGAGAATTTGCGACCAAATTGAGCATCCTACCCCTCTGAGGTTCCCAGTTCCATGACTGGATAACTTGCTTTTTCCTCCCTCGTGCTGCAACCTGTTCATCCACAACATCACTATCGTAAAGACGACAATAGGAGATGAATTTTATTCTGTAACACTATCAGCTGGAGAAAAAAAGAAAACACCTTTGTGCTGTCAACTGAGCTGATGTGTGATTCTTCAGTCATAATAATAGTGAGGAGAAAGAAAGTGTATATTTTCAAGGCATTGCGATGTGATGTGATCCTATCAATGATTGGAACATCATCCTCCTGATCTTGGACAGATCGGGAGATCGAATCGACATTGGGAAGAAGAACACTTAGATTGGACCGGAGGCTTTCTACAAGATTACACTTGCAAGATGGAGGAAGACTAAAAAAGCTCCTGACCAAAGAGTAGACACGATCAAAAACATCTTGATCTTCGATACAGAAGAGTTCTCTATCAGATAGGTCAAAGGATACACCTGTTCCACGAGAAGAAAGTAAACAAAATGCCTCACATATCAACCACGAAAGAACTAACATAAACATTTAAACTCTTTGACTTCACAGTTAGATACTTAGAATTTGTAAAACTTTCCAATAGAGCCAGAGAAGAAATTTGACCTTCCACACATTTCCTGAAACGCACTCAATAAAATTTCTCTCGACTTAATTAATCAATCTCGTATCGATCAGTTTCGCTTGAATACACGAATTCCCACTAAACCCACCTGACGACTCAAGTGACTAATGACACTATCAACAGACACAATGTAAATTTCCTCCCAAATTGCAATTGCAAAGCAAATCTTAAGCCTCTCGAAATTGCATATCAGATACGCTCATACAGTGGAGAGACAAAGACAAATTACCTTTGACGAATTCTTCCAGATCGGAAGGACGAAGAGAGGTCACATCGACGGGATTCTGAGCGAACAAACGATGATTGTCTTCCGGATCTTCTTCTAGGGCTCGTAGAATTTGAGGGAAAACAAAGGGAGGAGCCATTTTTGTCTAGGGAGAGAGAGAGACGTTGCTCAGAGGAGAGAGATAGAAAGAAGAATCTGCCTTTTGGGGAGATTCAATTTCAAAATGAAATTGAAACAGGCAACGGAGCGGGAATTCATGGATCATCCAATCGAGTCGGGTTCCGGATACAAACCAGGTCGGATCCTAATTATTTATCTCGAATTAAATTATTTGAGCATTGATGACGATGCGTTTCCCGTCGGCTTGACTGGCCAAATACGAACACGTGGCCAAATCTAAATGGTTGGAAGATCCTTCAACGTACCGAATCATCTTTGATATTTTTTTACCAAAGCTTTTGGCTCCAATGACTTCTCCGACCAATAATTTGATCTAACAAAAGAGAGAGAGAGAAGTAGAAAAGCTTTGAGATGGCGATGCCGCTGGGCATGGCGATGTATCTTATGAGAATGGTTTGGTTTTCTCTGAGTGGTTGGGTTTTCACTTGCGTGGCTATTGCTGACGAAATCGCTGGCTCTCTTAGAAACGGAGATATTGGTCCTTTCCATGTCGGATGATCGTATTCGAGATCTTTAGCTCTCCTTCTGTGCGTATATGTTCTTCTCTTCCCCGAATTTTACGTTTTTTTTTTTTTGGTTCTCTGTTGTTTTCGATTAGAGTCGCTTCAAATTTCCTTTGAAACCCTAAAATTGAGAATAGTTTGGGTTAATAGAAGACTAAGATAGATCATATTTGCTCGAAAAGGTGGAAACGGTTGAGATATGTATCAGTCACTCAGTGTGTATTGTGTTCGGCTTTGTATATGAAACTATGTATCTTATGGATTCCATGGATGTTGATGATGCTTGCTAATGGCCCATGAACTAAATCGAGATTTCTCAACTCTAATTTGGTTGTCTTTGTGTTCAGCAACTCTGGGATGCAAATAATGCTCGTTTCCTTTTGCTGCCTCTACTGCTTGAGTTCATCACTCATAGTAGCTGTTTTTTTTTGTTCTTGTATTGCTATAAGTAGACTCAGGAATCAGGATCATTCACATGCTCAGATAATTTCTCTCTTCTCTACATAAGTATATCAGCATTGGTGATATGATCCATATATGCTTAAGTGATTGTCTGGAAAACAATTCATAAGTGATACCTTCTTAGCCTTCAGTACCAAAACATTCCTGGAATCATGTTTTATAATCCCAAAACTACCTTTTGTTTTTACTTTTTCTCCTTAGCTTTTGTTTTGCACTCACGCCTTTCTGATTTCAGGAAGGGCATATTACTACAGTAAATGTGCAGAGTACACCAGCAAGGTTCTATGAATTGAAATCTTCTCCTGGTATGCAGGCAAGGTTCTAAACTAAGAAAAACTTATCTATTGCCGCGTGTTGCTCTACTGTATCAAACATTTGACAGAGAGAGACAGAGACAAGAGACAGAGAGAGCAGAGCAGTAAATGTGTATAGTACTATAGTTTGTAGAATTCCAGACCATAAGTGACCTCTCATACTTGTGAAAAAAATGTTGTTGAAAACAATTTTGAGTTTCTATCAATTTTAAGAATCATTTAGCCTCTTCTGCTTGGAAGATCAGATCACACACAAAAAAAAAAGAATCCTTTGAATGTACTTGTTTATCTTTAGCTCATTGACATCAAAGAAATCTATTACATTCAATGGAGAACCAAACTTTTTTGTCTGTCAAGATCCATCTCTAAAACTATTGAGCTTCCCTCTTATAGTAGGTTTTTTGTCTTATGCATATCTTCCTTATATCATTTTTAGTGTTAGGTTCTGAATGTCGAATCTTTCCCCTTCCCTTTATTGAAAAGAGTAAAAGACAAGGAGCAAAGTACCAAAAGAAAGAAAGAGTCTTCAAGGAGTTTTTGCCTTGTGCAATTCAACTTCTTCCTTTATTTTTCCTCGATGTCTTAATGTTGTTTATGTGTCTATATCTTAGACGTTTTTAAAATAAAATGTGGTCCAATTAGTAATCTTTTTAATCAAGATGTGGTCCAAATTAGTTGTTCTTTTTCTAAACCGTATTGAACAACATAATACCAAATTAAAATACATTAACATAATGCAATATGTAACAGCAAAGCACCATACTTTATCTCGTGGGGATTAGAATCTACAGCTTTCATTACAAAGACTAGTCAACTAAATAGTACCAGCTAGCAAAACATTCATCTTAGGAAAGAAAAAGGTATGTGTAGATCAATCAAAATGAGTAAAATGTTTCCTTCTGAATAAAAATGAATAAGGAAGAGTTCAATGAAATGATGATATTAAATTATGGTAGAAGTTATGTTAATAACAGGTCAGATATAGAAACTTTCCCTAAAGTCAAGGATTAAATTATTCACGTGAATACTCTGTCTAGGTCCTATCTTGAAATTTATTATTCCAACCTTTTATGTTCTTTTTTTTTTTAACATCCAACCTCTATGTTTATCTCTATATATTTAATTTTATAAATAACTATATAGTTAATATTTCTATATTTTTAATTTTTATAATTTAATATTTATATCTAGATAGAGTCATATCAAACCGTTTTGCTTCAAATTTTATCAAATGACAAGTTTTTATTTTTTGGGTGCAGATATCAAAAGATACGTTTTGGAATAAAATAATGATTTAAATTAAAAGTAGTTTAGAAAGTATTGCATTGCAAAAATAAATGCTAAAATTTAAATAAAATATTAGATTATATGTATATTGTGAAGCCCCAAAAGTTATTATAAAATCTTTTGAAACTGACATGTCAATATATTATTTGCCAAATTTGATCAACTCTTTTTTTCTCCTCCAATCTTCGTTTAGTACTAATAAAAATATCATAAAGAATTAAAGATTGCAGTTATGTAGATCATGACATTTCATTAAATAATATTTTATATAAAATGTTGGCCCAATTTATAGACAGTGGAGGAAAGTTCTTGGAATTGATTCTTCATTTCTTCTTCTATACATAAGCTTTGGTTACACAATCAAAATCAAATCGAGAACTGTGGTGTCCGAAAATCAACATCAACATCGTTCTTCTGCTGCCACTAAATTTCACCATCTTCCACCTCCAACTGCCCTAGACAGCTATTCTCCACCTTTCTCTTTTCTCTCTCTGTTCTCTATCATTCCCAGAGCAAAATCAAAAATCTCAGAAGAAACCAGAAAGAGCAAAGAAACTAAAAGTCTAAAACCTACTATTTCACAAAAAGTCAAGTGTTTTTAATTCGATTTCATAATGGGTTCTTCTGCTTCAAAGACCGCTTCTTCTGTTTCTTCTACTTCTTCCTCATCTGCGTTTTCTCCACCGCCGACCAAATTCGGCTCCGATTCATCATCTTCACCGGCGGTGCAGAGAGCTTTTTCGTTTCCGACGCCGTTGGTTCACCATCCTCCGGCGAGAAAAGGCGACACTCATCACCTTGTCTCCCTCACATCTACGTCGTACGGTTCTCTTCTCCTCCTCGATCTCGATGGATCCAATAACTCCTCCGACCAACAAACGCTGCCTCGTATCTCAATCTCCGGGAAGAACACACCAGATCCGGTCTCTCCTGACTCCGTCATAAACACGTGGGAGCTTATGGATGGCTTGGACGATGAATTCGAATTCGAAATTCCCAAACCTGGTAAGCGTCTAAATTCGGATTTTTGCTCTAAACCCGACCCGAATCGGAATGTGAGTTTAAATGGGTCTGCGTTGAAATTGGATGAATCTTACGAGATTGTGAGAATCGAAGAAGACGATGAAGATTGGGTTCCTTTGACTTATAAACCTAAGCAACCTTTGTGGAAGCATTTGTCTGAAGAATCATTTCTCTCTGACTTAGATCCCAGCATTGTCTCATCTTACAAGAAAGCTTTGTCTTCCAAGCAATTAAGCAATCATAGTAACACTAGAAACCCTCTTAGACCCACAAAGTCCCTCTCTTGTAGCCCATCATCCATCTTAATCAGTGAAGAACCAAAATCTGTATCCTCTAGTCAACTGATTTCATCACAGGCCAAACCGAGATTACCAGGGACAGAAGACAAGATTGTGCTCTACTTCACAACCCTCCGTGGAATTCGAAAGACATACGAGGATTGCTGTTGCGTTAGAGCGATACTGAGAGGGCTTCAAGTCACGGTAGACGAACGTGACATCTCTATGGATTCTAAATACAGGAAAGAGCTTCAAAGCGTGCTTGTTGCCGCAGAGAAACCGGTTTGTTTGCCTCAGGTGTTTATCAGAGGAACTCACATTGGTGGCGTGGAGGAGATTATGCAGCTAAACGATGGTGGTGAATTAGCAGAGATGTTGAAAGATTTCCCTGCTTGTGAACGCTTGGGGACATGCCGGAGCTGTGGGGATGCAAGGTTTGTGCCTTGTACTAACTGCGACGGAAGCACCAAAGTGTTTGAAGAACAAGACGAACGGTTCAAGCGATGTCCTAAATGCAATGAGAATGGATTGGTGCGTTGTCGCGTATGTTGTCTCTAAGTGATCTGTTTGATCAAAAGCTGTGCGGGTGAAAGGGGAATATAGATTGATTGATGATGTGATATTATGAAGAGAAGAAGAGAAAAGAGTGGATGATTCTTGACTAAACCTGGTATTTGGTTAGTAATGTATATTGAAATAAGTAAGTTGGCTCAAGCCTTTTATGTTACTCTCTTATGACTTGTGTTCTTTTGTTCCATTTATGTTCTTGATCTTGACCCTTTTAACATTTTAAACTAAATGATTCTTACTATACTATATTATAAGTACATAAAATGTTAGATGATGATTGGTAATTCGCATAATGGCCGAATGATTTGTTTTGTATGCAAGGTTATCAATGAAAATTTTGTGCAATAACAATTTTTATTCATTAGTTAATACAATTGTGAAATTGTCATTTCGCAAATGTGTTATCAAGTGTTATGTCCTTTAATAAATTAGCTAATTTATAGTATTTATATTTGTACCAAGAATTTTAATAAGCCCCATTAATGAAAATTAAGGAGACAAATTACCAAGAAATCTCGAAGTTAGCTAGTTGGTAATTTTTTACACACCAAAAAACTAAAGTGGGGTAGACACAAGGCAAGTACTTGCTAATTCTCAAATGTTTGTGATCCGGCTTAGCTCCTTTAAGAACCGAATTTTGGACTTGATATTTGACTTGTACGAAACACGTATTAGCTATAACAACTAACAAGTATCCGTCTAAAAGCTGATTACTTGCCCGTAACTTGACATGCCTTGTTACTTCCCAAAATCAGATACTTGCTACTTGAATTTTAAAACAATCTCACTCAAAATTACAAATTACAAAACATTCAAAGTTCCAAACATCCTAAAATCACAAAATATTCAAAATTCCAAAAGATAAGACCGTTTATCGATTCAGATTCTTCTTGGCTGATGAGCAATAGCTCATGACTCTCATGAAGATTAGGAGGGTTGGATTAAAATTATTGTGCTTTGAAATCTTTTCTTTTTTTTTTTTAATTTAGGGTTTTGTAAGATATAAATAAAAATAAATTATTAATATAGAAAAATAAGTACGGATCAAACAAGGCGGGTAATGAATTTTTTTATAATGATTTGATACTTGACGTGTACTTGCAAATAATAAATTTTTGATATTTGTTAGCCGCCCTACCAACGACAAATAATTTTTTTTTTAAGGCGGGTATGAAACAAGTAACGGTTACTAGACAAATACCAAATATATGTGCCCACCCCCTATGAAATATCCATAAATTTCAAATCCATTCAGGTGGGATGTGTGGTAAAAAGAAAAAGCTTGAAAGCTGCATTTCTTAGGGATTCCCCAGAAAAAATTGAATTCCTATCAATCAATCTATATATAACAATATTTGAGAAGTGTTTTTGCTGACGTGTCGGACTGTCGGCTCTTGTTGAGTCCTTGATTTTACGTAATTACTTAATTACCCTTAATGAAATCTAATTAATTTTGGAAAAATTAAATTATTAACCAGGAAAAAATAATTTTGGAAACAATAAACATGATAATTAACCAAAAAAAAAAAAGGAACAACGAAGTACCAGTTAGGAAGCTTTAATTGAATTCATCGTGTTATAACAATATTTGAAAAGTGTTTTTGCTGACGTGTCGGACTGTCGGCTCTTGTTGAGTCCTTGATTTTACGTAATTACTTAATTACCCTTAATGAAATCTAATTAATTTTGGAAAAATTAAATTATTAACCAGGAAAAAATAATTTTGGAAACAATAAACATGATAATTAACCAAAAAAAAAAAAAGGAACAACGAAGTACCAGTTAGGAAGCTTTAATTGAATTCATCGTGTTCTTCGTCGTGTGAATATAATTCTTCTAAACGAAGGCAAAACTTGAAATCCTAACATAAAGCATATATTCATAGCAATAACAGAGATCTAATAATTTAGTGATAGAATTTCACCGGTTGATCTGTCGAAGCAGAATAGTCAAGCTTCTCATAGTATCTTGCCCATGTTATGTCTTTAAGACGTTAATACTATCCTACACCCTATAATTCTAACCAATGAAAAGAACAAATATTTATTACCTTGGATACAGAGTTGACG